TTAACCCCTAAGAAAAAATGTACTCCATTCACTGAAATAGTCACCCCACCCTCAGGACATGAATATGATTATATGGCCCATGAGGCAGCCCTGCTTTCTCTGGCTACAACCTCTTCATTCTGCTCCTAGAGAAGGGAGCCCATTTCCCAGAATGCAGCCTCCCTCCAGCTTCTAAACATTACCCTTATCTGTACAACTCCCATGAATAGGAGCCGAGGCCATGGGCTTACTTTTGAAATGAGTCATGATATGACATCTACCGTGTTCTTGGTTTTCAGGGACCGAAGAATGCTCCTGTCCTTTCCCCGATAGTAAGAGAAGTGGGTTTGGCTAAGGAAAAGCATGGAGAGGCGGGTTTGGGAGGGAGAGCAGAAGGGAAGAGGAGCAAACATTTCCTCCTTCATTCACTGGTGGCGAGTGGACGAGTAGAGGAGTAGAAGCAGAGTATTAGGGCCACTAAGTGGGGACATAAGAAGTGTGACTGCAGGCTGCAAGGTCATCGTTGACTACAGACTGGAGTGGTTCCCAAACCAGAGCACAGGCGTCTGAGAAGGTCTGGGCTGGTCCCACCCTGCCCCATGTTCTAGCTTGGGCTGCTTCAGTTTTTACTTCTTTGGTTGCTATCTTGGATCTTGTATGTGCCCCCAAAGCCCATAGCTCCCCATTCTTCACATTAGCGCCATTGTGCAACTTTCACCTTTGTCTAAAATTGAAATAGACTTCTACTCTAAAAAGAAATATTTTGGGAAAATGAATTTATTAAAAGCAATAGATCTAACAGCTAATTAGCATAATAATTCTCCAAACGCTAACTAATTCAATAGAAATTCCTGAGTTTTGTTTGCTGAATGATTAATTTATGGGACTATTAATTCACCATAGCTTTTTCCAGTCTACATATAAAGCTTACAGAAATTCATTTTTTTCAAGACCACCCAATGTTTTTCCTTATATTTTGGGAAATGAAGATTTCTTGTGAGTTTTGAATGTTGAGGTACTGTGCTCATTATGAATGTTAGAGATTTTCAAATTTGGATTATCTTTGAGGAGGCCAGGAAAGCACTCAGTAGTTTCAACAACCTCTTATAAAACCTCAGTGAGAAGGGAACTTTTTTAACCCGAGAAAGGTTGATAAAATCTGAAATGTTAAAAGCATTCCCTTAAAAATCAGGAACAAAACAAGAGTGCCTGAAATTACTACTTATACTCAGCATTATAATGAAGTTCCTTGCTTGTGTATTAAAATAACAAGATTTAAAAGGAGTAAAGATCAGAAAAGTAAAAACAAAATTTTTACTATTTCAAATAATATTATTGCCTGCAAATAAAACCTTGTAGAGTCTACAGATTGCTTATTAAAATTTATAAGAAGATTTAGCAAGAATATTGAATATAAGATCAATTTAGAATTTGAATTACATTTCTGTATAACATTAAGAAAAGAAAATGCAATTAAAATATATTTCTAATAGCAACAAAGGTGTGAAGTACCTAGGAATAAATCTAACTAATGATTTATGTAGAATATTCCGAAATTTTGTCGAAGTCATATTAAAGAAGATCTAAGTAAATGAGGACATGCCATGTGCATGAATAGGTATATTTAATACCATAAAATGTCAAATTTCCTCAAACTAAGCAATAGATTCAATGCAATTTCAATTACAAAAAATCTTTATTCCATAAGCTGATTCTAAAATTTAAATGGAAGAGCAAAGGGTCAGGAGTAGCCAATCATTTCTGAACTAGGTAAGGAGTCTTGTCTTATTTGATAACAAAACTTTTATTATGAAGCAATAGTCATGAAGATAGCGATGTATGACAGAGCTAGCATTGCAGATTAATGGGGAAAGGAAAGACTATCCAATAAGTAATGTGAGACAATTCATTATCCATATAATAATTAAAACAATGCCCTATTTCACACCAGAAACAAAAATAAATTCCAAATCCTTTAGAGGACTCTAGTTTGAAAGAAAAACATACTGTCAGGAGCAATACATAAGAACATTCTTATGATCTCAGAGTAGGAAAGGATTTCTTAAGCAAGTCACAGAAAATACAAGTCATTAAGAAAATAATTAATACATTGACAAATTAAAAATAAGAACTCAGACACGAGAGAGAATGTGAATAGACAAGTTATATGCTGGGATAAATATTTGCAACACATATAACTAAAAAAAGACCGGTATCTGGAGTATTTTAAAAACTACCTAAAAATAAGAAAAAAATAGTGATCCCTCTCCCCCTCTCCTGCCCCAAAGGGTCATAAGTCCATCAACAGGCATTTTACAGAAGAGGAAACAAAAATGACCAATAAACAAGTTGAAAAGATGCTCCTCCTGTATTAATAAGGGACATGCATGTTGAAACCACATCAAGATGCCCTTTCACACCTTCCAGATTAGAAAAAGTAAAAAAGTTAGACAAAGCCATTGTTGTGGAGGCAGTGAAACAACTGCAGTTAGTAGTAGCATAAATGGCACAGAACTTTGGAACACAGTTTGACATAGTGAGTAAAGTAAATCATGTCCATAATCAGTGACCTAGCAATTCCTTGCCTAGGCACATACCTTAGAGACACGGGCAAATCATAGCATTGCTCAAATAAATGAAAAATTAGACATAACCCAGAGGGCAGCCGGAAAACCCTTCTAAAGGGAACATCACATCGTGATAGTCCCCAATTCTAAATCCTCCGGTGGCTTCACATTGCAATGAGAATAAAATTCCAAACGCCTTCAGTCTCGGCTTATCTCTCTGATTTCATTGGGTGCCGCTCTCCCCAAGTTTCTCAAGACACAAGATCTTCCCTACCTCAGGGCCACACGCTCCTTCTGGGTCATTCCACGGTTGGCTCTTTTTTTCATCCTCTAAGTTGGCCTAAATATCATTTCTTTACAGAGTCCTTTATTTGCCATCCCATCTAAATTAGTTTCCCCAACTCATTCTCTATCTCAGCCCTATTTCCTATAATAACATACATTAATATATGAATTATGTATGTACGTATGTATGCATTCATAATTTTTTTTTTTTGCCTGTCTTAGACATTAAACCGATAACCTACATGTGGGCGGGGACCACGTCTAGCGAGTTCATGACTATATCCCCTGATCCCCTGTGCCTTCCACGTAGCCTGGCGTATAATAGTCAGTAAATCTTTGTGGAATTGAATGATTGAATAAAAACACAGCATAAGTTGTATCTGTGCCTATTTGAAGTAGTTTGTTGATCTGAGAGTACATTTTATTAGCTGTAGTTCATGGAAAGGATAATGGGATACCACAACGGCCACACAATTCTTAATATTTACTTAGAAGGTAAAGGGAAGAGTTTACCTGGTCTATTTTTGACCTCAAGTAATTCACCAACATGTGCCTACATGCATCTACAAATTATTTTCAATGATTTTATACACAATATATTAAACTGATCTTTCAACTAGACGAAAAGTCCTCCAATGCCCAAACTGTTTGGCGATATGAAGTGTTTGTAGGTTGCTTCTAATACAAATTAAAAAAGGAAACATAGATATGAATATAGAGATTTGGTGTTGAATATTTAAATATGCTGGTGAAATACTTGTAAGCCTGGGCTCTTTTCGAAAGAGGCTTGAATTTAGGTTGATTCAGGTTTTTATTTTATTTTTATTCTATTTATTTATTTACACTTATTTAAATTATATGTACTATATTTATTTGAATTGTACTTTGTGCAATTAATTAATTAATGCACTTTAATTTAATTTTTTCTTGTTAGAGCTTGAGCTCCAAGAGGATTTTACATTACAATCTACAAAAGAGATGTTTTAAACAGACAAAGCAATTCAAGTAATACTCAGAGTTCAGCAAAATATGGAAATAATGCAAAAGTTTTACATTTTTGATCACAGAAATTGTGCTCTTGCTCAAACAATCATAGTGCAAATTAGGTAAATTTATTTTAATGATAGCTGGAAAAACCAAAGCTAACTTTAGATGTATTTAGTAACATTTTGCATAAATTCAGACTCTTGGTCTCTAAAACTTAAAAAAATTATTTAATTTGTACTCATAACCTGACATTCTGATAAGTGACTGCCATTACATGAAATGGGATTTCTTTGTGTTCTATTTAATTTTTAAAAGCTCTAATTTTGAGTACTTTTGTGTGTGTGTGTGTGTGTGTAAAGGATTTAAAATAATTAAAAAGTAAAACAAATGATTAACGTTCTGGATATGGCGCTATAAAAGTAAACTTTAGCTGTGGAGGCCATTCCTCTACCTTCATTTGAGAGGTTTCCATGAAACATACATTAAAGCTCACATCAAAGTTGGATGAGAAACTTTTTCTTGTAATTGATTTTCACTTGCACTTGGTTTCTACCTTTTATAAATTCCCAGAGAATTATGAGACAAAATGAATAAAGAGTTGATAAATGAATTTTCATTAAAATATGTAATTATCAGAGTGGTGTTGATATAGATGTTAACATTTATAGCTAAAAAGGATATGTTCTAAATCTGGGTAACGCTGCTATAAATCACTGCACAGTCAGTAATTGAACCAGAGCATAGCTAGTACTATCTAAGTATTTAATTTAGAAAACATAATGAGTGTGATTATTTTAATATTTTAATCATTACTACTTTAATAATCACACAGGTAATTTTGACACCAAAGGAATGTTTCTGGTTCAATTATGGCTTCACTTCCTATGAACCCGAGACTGAGTTAGGAATTGAGGAACTGTATGGCTGGCCACTTATCCAGTACTGAAAAATCCTAGAGAAGGCACTAATAATTATTTTCCCTTCATAGTGGTAAAGTTCTATTTGCTCAGCAGATCATATCCCTTGCAATGTACTGCCTTCAAATCCACGGGCCCAGATGCCTAGGCTGTGCTTTCTTTTCCCCCTTGGCACATTGCTACCTCAGGGAATGAGGAAGGTGCTCTTTAAGGGATACCTGTCAGGTAGCAGAAGCCATCAGGGAGACAAACAGGATGTACCCACCTGAGAAAGACTGAGCTGGGGCTGTCGGTGGAGCTGTGCTGGGCCTCGGTGAGGGCCTTCCGTGGGCTGCCTGGAATCTCAAACCGGAACACTGTGTCGCTGGAAGATAGCCGTTTCTTCCCCATTGTGCACTTGCTGATCGCCAAATCAAGCAAGAAGCTCAAAGGCTCATTTCTGAATCTCCCCACTGTGAAAATCTGCGCTGTAACTTTGCTCAGTTCTTGCATTGCAGGAAGCCCTAGCTCCTTCTTCACATGACTCCTAAAGTAGCTGAGGCGCTTTTTTTTTTTCAGTAGTTAATGAGTAACATGTAAGTATGACACAGGGCGGTTTTCATCCTTCCCACATTTGCTCTAAAAGAAAAATAAATGGGTTTGGGAAATTCAGCTTTCAGTTTACTAATACAACCCTGTGGATTTAGGCGGAAAAGTCTATAAAAAAGTAAAGACTGAACACAAGGCGGTGCAGAGTCTGACAGTTCCTAAATATTAAAAGCAGAGATACTTTTTCTAATCCTCTGGGCCTGACCACCAGGGTGAAAGCTGTAGTTGTGCTTTATGTCTTTGCACATTCAGGAAATAAACAGCCCACCTGCACGTCACATTTGGCAAGACACATAGTACTTTAAGGCTGTGCTGCTGGTCCTTGAGACCAAGAGTTTTGGAGCTCTTATGGAAGTCATCTGTACAAAGCCAAGGGAACCTGCATGTTGTGTATTTTGCTACATCACAGGAGGCTGTGACCTGTTTCAAAACAGCAACAACAACAACTAAGGCAAACAAAAACCACTAGGAGGCGAGGGCTCCAGCCCTGTTGCTTGCTGGTTGGGTAACCATGGGTGATCGTAACCCTGCTAAGTTTGGTATCTGCCATGCCTATCTCACAGGACTAGAAGTATTATAGGATGAAATCATACAGAAAAATATGCTGTGGAGATTTGCAAGTATGTGCTACATTATTGTTGTTATTTAGAACGCATTTCAGCAGGGAGTACAGAAAAGGAATTTCTGCATGTCACTGGTCTTCTGTCACTTCATGTCCACGCGCAAGGACAACAGTGTCCCTCCTCTAATGTCACGGGCAGCAGTGAGGGATTTGGTCCACAGGAGCTGTGCTCTCTCTCTCCTTGTTCCCCTTTTGGTTCATCAGTGACATTGGAGAATGGTTGGCTTGAAGTGACATACACAGATTCTGATTGTGGAAGAGAGCAAAGTTTCTGGGGAAATCAAACCTTTAGCCTTGGCCTGTTTAGCCCTTTGCTCTAATCAGCTGATAACCAGCTGGAGACAGGTTTGTGTTGCTGTGGTGTGCAGTGTATTCTAAGCACCCTTTTGAAATTAGACCAAGTCTGTCTTTCGGTGGGGTTTTACTGGTGTCTGATAGGGTGACCAATGTTTCCCAGTTTGTCTGGGATTTTCCTGGTTTTAGCATTGAATGCTCTACATCCTAGGAACCCCTTAGGGCTGGGCAAATCGTGACAGGTGGTCACCCTGGTTCCCAGGGCTGTCTTGCTACAATTGTGATGGTGCACTGCACCCAGCTTCCGTCCTTGTCCTTCCTTGATCGTGCAAGCATCTGTATTTCTCTTCCCCCCTAATTTCTATTTTGCAATTATGTTGGAATGACATTAAATAAGTCATAATAAAGTGTCGGATTAAACAAAGTCATCTGTACCTCATATAAAAGCAACAACTGGCAAGGCAGTTTCTGCTCCTTGTAAACAAAAGCGTCTAATCACACAGTTATTCATAACGAATAAAACATAACAGGTTACTATCTCCCATGAAGGTTTGGATTTTAACTGGGGGCGATACTTCACTTAAAACCAAATGTCTGTAAAGGAGGAAATTCCAGTGTCAGCAGCCAGCCTCTGGACATAGTTTTCAATAGAGAACTTTCTTAGTACTCACTCAGTCAATGATATTTTATTAGTAAGGTTCCATGCTAGCTGCGGTGAATGATACAAAAAAATTTTAAGAAATGGGTCCTTGGTCCAACACTGTAGTTAGGAATAGACAATGCACACAGTTGCAAGGCTAACTGACAATAAAAGAGGGAGAAATGCAATATTTCTTGAGTCTCCATATATCTAATGCCTTTTGTGTCTATGTAGCTTCTCTGCTAGATAATTTCATAATAACATCTCATTTAGTCCTTGCAAAAACCACGTTTTTTTTCTTTTTTAAAGATTTTTATTGGGGAATTGGAGGGATGGGAACAGTGCTGGGGAATTGGGGGAAGGGAAACAGACAAGTTGCTGTCCTTTTGTTCTTCAGTCTAGTTGTGGAGGACGTTGCTTCACTGGCCCAAGTTGGCACCATCATTGCGCTCTTCCCGGGTGAGGCAGATCAGTCGCTGGCTTCTGGATGGCCGCTCACTGCGGCTGTTGGCCGCTCACGCTGGCTGCTGGCCACACACGGTAGCCCATGGCAACCCACTGCAGAAGGGGCTGCAGCCTACACCGTCCCCAGGGACTCACGGCAGCCCAGCTCCAGGTTGAGCTGTTGTTCAGCATCTTAGCTGTGGACGGCAGTGTCACTGGCCCTCATATGTGGGATCCGACCGGGGCTCTCTGGCATCCCAAGCCAGCTCTTAACCAACACGCCACTCAGCTGGCCCACAAAAACCACATTTTTACAGATGATAAAGTTCTATCTAAAAAGATTAAGCGAGTTGGCCATATTTAAGTGGTCATAAGAATGTGGTCATGCTAGAATTCATCATTCATTCATTCATTCATTCAACAAATGTTTATTAAATATTTACATTTAAAAGGAGGCAAGATCATTTGAGACTGGGATGATTTAGAAAAGTCTAGTGGAAAAGGTGGAGTTTGAGTGGAGCTCTGAAGAATAAGGAGATTTTGGGAAGGCAGAAAGGGAAGGGAGTAGGGCTCATGAACAAATAAACAGGCATAGGCCAGGTGTGTGTGAGTGTGTGTGTGTGTGTGTGTGTGTGTGTGTGTGTGTGTGTGAGAGAGAGAGAGAGAGAGAGAGAGAGAGAGAGAGAGTGGAGAGGTTGTGTTGATGAGGTAGGGGAAGAGCTTTGATCATGTAGGTAGAGGCTGAATTAGGAAGGACCCTGAATGCCAGTGGGAACTCCAAGCTTTATCTTGTAGGTAATGGGAATAAAATGACGAAAGATTAGCTTGATGTCCACGTGGACGATGCTTTGGAAGCAGAAGGAAATGAGCTGGCTCATTCTGGCAGTCATCTGGTGATATGGCTTTTTCACTTAGGCAGCAACTACTATCTATGGGAAGCAGCTCTGAAGTAGTTGAAACAGCATTGATGCAACTCTTATGTAAGATGTTGAGTTAATTCCTTATCATAAAATATTGTGTTAAACATGCGATTGTGGAAAATCAGAGCAGGGGCCACAAATGCAAATGCCTTCAACGGCCAGAAAGGTAAGTAAAACCACAAGATGGGGAGAGAAACCAGCGGAGAGTGGTAGAAAGGTGCAGTGTTCATGCCCTCCCTAGGGGCATTCAAGGTTTAAACTAGAGGCTGTTGAGGGGGCAGCCTAAACGCTGGATTCGGCTGTGGCTTTGCCCCCCGAATTTCACTTCTTGATAGGAGCTGCCTTCGCTAAATCTTTCAAGATTTGCTAGTAGTTATGTTTGGACTTTATGTTCAAAGAGGAATAAGGGTAGGCTCTGATAGCACATGACCACTGAAAGCAAATGTGAATTTTTATCTACTTTATTTTTAAGATGAATGGCAGTTGACTTCTGTGCAGTAGCCTACATCAGCAGGTACGAAGCTGCTGCTGTTTGACCCCTTCCACTGTTTAGACGTGGCCTCTGCTCACGTCATTTCTAGCCTTTGCCACAGCTTTCATTTTTGTGTGTAAAAATGAAAACAAAGACCAGATGATCAAAGGTGAACAACTGGAGTCAGACATTTATGTTAATATATGTTAATAATATAATATAATATAATAATAATATAATATAAAAGGAGTATATACACTGTCAAAAAAATGAATACTCTATGATGACAACTAAAATAAAGGTAGCAGAGACCTTTTATGTCCTTCCATGGAAACAGAGACTAAAAGACAAAACCAAACAAGACAAAACTTGATAGCTAGCAGGCAATTTTAAGTAACATCACCCATGATTGAAATATCTCATTTTTTGGATGCTCTCCAATAAGTCACACTGTTATATCATTACAAATACAGATTGTAGAGTCTGACATAGAAAAAAGAATAACAAGTTTGGGTTCCCCCACTTGGTATATTCAGTTAATGCCTCTAGACTTTTTTTCCTCTTCTACCAAATGAAGAGATACGAGGCTAGATTTGGCCTGCTGACATGTCCTGTTTGGCCTTTATCAGATTTTGTAAGTAGAAATTTCTTATACATTTCATATAAAAGGTGATCACCTGACCTTGCCTAGAAATCAGACCTGGCAAGAGTATGGCAGTAGTTCGCTGGTACTGAGCAACCGTCCCCTTGGGACGTGGCTGATCTCTGTGGTTTGCCTGAGTCTGCCTGCTTTGTTTCGATTGTTTTCGTTACCTGCATTTGAGTTTCCAGCCCCTGACACCTGGGTGATGTTGAAAGTTCTCTCAAGCTTTAATTTTCTTTCCTTAAAGACTGCTTGTTAAAGTTTTACTGTATGATTTTTTTTTCTTCAGTGAAACAAGGTCCATAGATAGTTGCAAGACTTGTGCAATGATGATAATCTTTCGTTATTATATCTAATCATTCTGAAGTCCACAAATAAGGAACTAATATGCCTACCGATGCTAGCTAGCTTAGATAGGAGGTGGGGGATGCGTGCCTGTAGATTCTTCTTCTCCTGGAGGCGAGGAGATTTGATGTTGAGGCACAAAACCAAACTGAAAACACCAAATACATAGCGCTTCAAAACCAAGCTTTTCAGAGGTGTGGAATATAAATTCTCATTTACAAATAGATTAGATTTCCTCTACAGTTAGGTAACATTATAAATATTTATGCTCTGAGATTTATCTGCTAGATTCTGCTGTGCTCAGGCTAGTATTAATACAATTAGTTTGTATACCCTAAGCTCATACTACTGCCATTTAGACAAAGAAGCGTGTGGTCTGCTTAAGATACCTGGGGATTCAGACCTCATCATGGGACAGCCATATGTGGAATACCAGGGTTCGGGTGTAATGTGAATGTATCTACATTCTTGGAGTGGGCTGTGTGGTGTCGTGGTGTAGAGCAGCAGTTCTCAACCTTCCTGATGCTGCGACCCCTTATACAGTTCCTCATGTTGTGGTGACCCCCAACCATAAAATTATTTTCGTTGCTACTCTATAACTGTAATTTTGCTACTTGCCGGGAGCCGTCTGCGCCTCAGTATCTGACATGGCCAAACACT